AGGTGGAAGAAGAGAATGCTTTAATTTAAAATGTTACATGTTACTCTTAAAGGTTTCAGAACTATAAATTTTTGACTAAAAAGGAAAAGACTTCCTAGTTTCCTAGAAACACACTACATACCATTCCTACAAAAAATTCAACTACTATTGTTTAAGTAATTCCTCAGAAAAAGTTTTTCCATATAACTAGTACATTAATAACTTTAATTTAAATGGTTTAAGATTAAGACATTTATGTAGTTTAAGTAAATCTTGAATTTGAAAACTGTTAAAAGATTGAATTACTTTTCCCTTTAATAAAATAAACTGTATTAAGAATATGCTTTTCTTCTATTAGAAACCCTAGTGTCATGTTCTATGATATTAGGAAAAGAAAGTTTAACATGAACTCATTTCTTAATCGGTAATGTCAAATTACCAGCAAGTTCGCTATAGCAGCAGGAAGCTAGAACAGCAATATACACCCTCAGGACTAACTAGCATTCGAAACAAATCTGCAAAATGTATTTTTCCTGAGTGACCAGAAGATAGCGCTTCAGCACTGCACAAAAATGCACAAGCCCAGAAAACTAAATTAACTCAGAAATGTTTCTCTCTTTCCCATTCTACTCTTTTTCTCTGTTAAAAAAAAAAAAAAAAAAAAAGTCTTACATAAAGTTATCTTACAGTGAATTAGGAGGATTTAAAATGAAAACATTTTAAATCTCAGTTGTCAGAAATTATTATCTATCTATCTATCTATCTATCTATCTATCTATCTTAAAAACTTGAGGATTCTGACTCCTTTTAAACATAAATTACGTGACTTGGTATTTCTACCTTACAAAATTACTAGAAATATGAAGTGGTTTTGATAACAAAGCATTACTAAAAAGAACCTCACGAAAAGATGAAAAAACAGGAAAAACAATTTCTGTAGCAAAATCAGCAAAAGGTTTTAAAGTATCTTACAAGAAATCAGTTTATTTTCTCTTCTTTTATCTCACAATATGATAGCAATCTCTCTTGATGTGTTTAAGAGATATACATACATTATACAAAACATGGTTATAAATGAGAATATGAATAATTATGAAGTTTTATAATATCATGCATTGATTTATGTGAAGACCACATGCAACAGAAAACGATATTACTTAGTATATTTTCTCTGAAAACCTAAATTATCTGCCCCTTAATATCCAGCTATGGACAGTATTCAACTGCACGTACACTTCTGTTTTTTCATTAGAATGTCAGCTTCCAATGGGACATTATGCAGGTGACACAGACTAAAGTTTTTATAAAACTGCACTTGACAATTCTTCTTCAAACTTAATACTGCATTAAAATGAGAAGTCATTGGCTTTTTGACAGTAAATTTTCTCCAGAAATGAATTGTTTCTATGATTATTCTCTAGATGGAAAAAAACTTTATAAAGCCTTTTATCAAACAGGATTATATCCTTTCCACCTTCATTTGTGCTAAGACTAACAAATTGTTCTCCATATTTGAAACTGGGGCAGGGTTTAATACTACCCAAGAGTCTCATGAACTATGCAATTGGTATGAAGTTTTGCATCTAGTTTGAGAAGTCATAAAAGGTCTATGCTTTATCACCTACAAAAATCAGGGCTTGAAATCATGCAATTTTTAAAGACTTTTTCAGTTATAAAATTCTGATACTATTACATAAAGTTTAAATCTGAAACTTTAAATCACCCCTGAGAACAAAATGAAAAATATACTTATTTTGCTCACTATTTCTACCATTTAGGACACTGATTAGTGGTATTATCTAACTGTATAAAAAGTCTGCCTCTACACGGAGCAATGTGAAAACTAATCCTTAAAAGGACATCAAGAAAATATTAAAGGCAATAAAAAAAAAGAAACAGTGAAAACATCAGAATTACAGAGTATTTTTTATTATGCACCCTACAGCTTGGATATTTTAATGACATTTAACAGAGTAACCAATAAATACACTCAAATAAATGCTTATAAGATCAAAATTATTTGGTTTTCATGATTAGCTATTAACAAGCTGAAACATTTGCTATTTTTTTTCCCAACAGCTGCGAGATTTCTACTAAAGTTTTATGCTAACCTACAGATCTGGAAAGACCTTCTGCAAAGCTCAAAAACTTACATTAAAATATTGATTCCTACAAAAAACTGATAGTATCTTTAAGAAGACTATAGAAAATAATTATTATACCTAGTATTCCATAAGTCTTCTAGGAAACCTTAATCACATATCGGTCAAATCCTTCAACTCATGATGTACAAGTTTTTCCTATTTTAAATGCAAATATGTCAATATTTGCTTAAGAGACCTTATATAACATAAAGGGCAGAAGAGACTTTTCTTCAGCGAAGCCTGCGAACATGTAGCCAGGTGAGTAAGTTCACTATATTTTCTCATCCTTCAAGCCTCTTGCAGCAAGTTTTCTCACAGTCTACAATAGAGTGAAGAATACTGTTCTATAGCTCTCTGACTCTCAGAAGGGTAGCTGACTTCCTTACTGCCCTTAAACACCTTTGAACACATTATCCTGAGCACAGCAGGCCCTTGTCCCAGGCACAGTACGACCACCCACTGCTGCTTGTTGACCAAACGCGCGGGGCCAGGAGCCTCCACAGACACAAGCAGGATGGGATTCCTTTCAAGCACAACACACAGAAGAATTTCACTGCCGATGCTGGCGGGGGATGGGGGGTGGGGGGGCAGGGGATGGGCAAGGGCAGCTATATCAAGGCAGAATTACTAATTCCTCACAAACTAGACCTCTGCCAACAGATAAAAATGTTCTTTTTGATCTTATGCTCCTATATATACATATTTAAAGTTTCTATAGGAGCATTTTCTCAATTTAAAGGGGATTATTTAATCTAAATTAAACAAAAAGAGACATATTTAACATACCTCACTTCACTTTTTA